TTCTCCAGCGCAATCATGCATAGATTTAATAAGCATCCAAAGGTATGATCAGTGTGTGCCATGCATGCCAAATTAATCCTCTCTTGACTTTTTTTTTCCTCTTTGAATCTTAATGAATTGAAGGAAAAAAATGTTTATTAAAGTGAGAACAGGGGAGGTACAAGCTCCACATCTTTGGTTCAAAAGTTCATTCTGTTCCCCAAAGGCTCATCTGCGAAAAGGGAGAGCGTGCACGCATCTGTTTTTCTTTTTAAGGGAAGAGGAAAAGCAGGAGCCTTATTTACTAAATGCTGCCTTTCATGTTCCCTTTTCCCAAAGATGCTGGCAGAGGCCCGCAGACACGGCACAGTGTGAGAAGTAGACAAGCAGAGCCAGACTTGTGCCACCATGACAAGCACATTTTATCATGCATTCTGCCCTTGAATCTGAATAGATCCAGACATTGTTGATCCATTCTGTGCTTTCCAGATGTTAGAAATATTTTCACAGTAAGTCTCTGTGATTTATGCCACCTTAAAATGTACCCAGGGCAGAGAGTGGAGGCAGACAATTTGGGAACCGAAATGTAAACTATTGTCATAGCACAGTATTTTAGCTCTGTTAGAGTTGATGTAATCTCCGAGTTTTATGTTTAATATAATGTATGCATTTCATTCGTATCATATAGCCTTTTAATTGTTCCTTCAAGTCAGTCCCTGCTCCTCATGATTCCTAGTATAATATGCTCCTCAAGATTCCTAGTATAATATTTTTACTACAGTCATACTGATGCACACATGCTAGGGATAATTAATTGGTTAGGTTGTTTTTAGATTGTAGAAAGGATCCAGAGCCCCCTCAAAGGAAACTCACACTAGCATGGGGAAAACATGCAATGCAAATGATTTCCCTGGTGAACACTTTGATTCACAGTGCTGAAAAAATAAAAGCGCAAACCATCAAGCTACAGGTGTTTGCCTTTATTAAAGTGATTGCGGACAGGATGCAAGAGATATTTAGAGGCTGCAGACATGTTACAGGAGATGGTTAGAGGCTGTGGACATGGTACAGGAGATGGTTAGAGGCTGTGGACATGGTACAGGAGATGGATAGAGGCTATGGACATGGTACAGGAGATGGATAGAGGCTATGGACATGGTACTGGAGATGGTTAGAGGCTGTGGACATGGTACAGGAGATGGTTAGGGGCTGCAGACAAGGTACAGGACATGGATAGAGGATGCACACATGGTACAGGAGATGGTTGGAGTCTGCATACATAATACAGGAGATGGTTAGAGGCTGCGGACAATGTACAAGAGATGATTAGGAGCTGCTTACATGGTACAGCAGATGGATCGAGGATGCGCACACTGTACAGGAGATGGTTAGGGGCTGCGGACAGGGTACAGGAGATGGTTAGGGGCTGCGGACAGGGTACAGGAGATGGTTAGGGGCTGCGGACAGGGTACAGGAGATGGTTAGAGGCTGCAGGCATGATATAGGAGATGGTTAGGGGATGCGGACATGATACACGTCAAAATATCACCAGTTGGTAAACACTGCCTGTGCCTGCCATGCCCGTGCATCCTGTTCTCTGCAGTGCAGCCTGTAGTTCAGACAGTCCTCCACCTCAAGACTCCCGCACCGGCGTCCAATGGGCTTCTCTCCCGCCTTCCCATCCAGTCCTCCTGGCTGTTGCTAATGACTCCTAAAAATGTGCAAATCGGTGCCATGACACCACTGCGTGCCCGAGCCCAGCAAAGCACGCCCAATCCCAGGCTGGCTTTGGAACTGTGCATGCGGAATTGCAAAGACGGCTGCAGGCCTTTTTTTTTTTCTTTTTACGGATAGCCGCCATCCATAAACTGACATTTACGGACAGGCTATGAATGGTTAAAATTTACAGACTGCTCATAAATTTATGGACGGTTGGCAACCCTGCTACACAGATACCTGCCATCTCAAAGGCAGTATTTGCATAGTAAAAAGTTCCTAAGCTACCACTGTTATAGTAGAGACCCACACTGGGTAATAGTACCGTATTTTCCGGCGTATAAGACAACTTTTTAACCCTTGAAAATCTTCTCAAAAGTCGGGGGTCGTCTTATATGCCAGTATACGGCATGCTGATACTTGGTGTCAGGGCGGCACTTTTTAGGGGGGTGGCGCGGTGCCGCTGCCGCCCCCCCCCCCTTCCAACGGTAGGAACACTAAGTACAGGGGTGGGCAGGGGGCTGCTGTTTCTTACCTGGCTCCGTTTCCAGTCCCACGACGATCCAGTCCAGGAGGCGCGGCTGCTCCTTCATTCCGTTCGGCCGCTCGATGTTCGAGCGGCCCGCTCGGCTTCGCCTCCTCACCGGTGATTGGCCGCCAGAACTGTAGCTCAGGAAAGGCACACAGGCGGCCAATCACCGGCGAGGAGGCGGAGCCGAGTGGCCCCACGAAAATCGAGTGAGGGAGCGCCCGGTAAGTGTGCCGTGCAGAGGTGCTGCTGCAACCACATATGCTGGCTGCAGCAGCACCATACTGGAACAGGGGTCAGCAAGTGTCATTGGTGTCAGTGGGAGGAATAGTGCCCCATCATTGGTGTCACTGATACTAATGATGGCGCACTATTCCTCCCCCTACTGACACCAACGATGGGGCACTATTCCTCCCCCTACTGACACCAACAATGGGGCACTATTCCTCCCCCCCAATGACACCAACGTTGGGGCACTATTCCACCCCCCACTGACACCAATGATGGAACACTATTCCTTCCCCCACTGACACCTATGATGGGGTACTATTCCTCCCACTGACACCAATGACGGGGCACTATTCCTCTCACTGACACCAAAGATGGGGCACTATTCCCCCCACTGATACTAATGATGGGGCACTATTCCTCCCACTGATACCAATGATGGGGTGCTATTCCTCCCACTGACACCAATGATGGGGTGCTATTCCTCCCACTGACACCAATGATGGGGTGCTATTCCTCCCACTGACACCAATGATGGGGCACGATTCGTCGCTCTGACACCAATGATGGGGCACGATTCCTCGCTCTGACACCAATGATGGGGCACTATTCCTCCCACTGACACCAATGATGGGGCACGATTCTTCCCACTGACACCAATGATGGGGCACTATTTCTCCCACTGACACTGATGGAGTACTATTCCTCCCACTGACACTAATGATGGGACACTATTCCTCACACACTGACACTAATGATGGGGCACCATCATTGGTGTCAGTGGGAGGAATAGTGTCCCATCATTGGTGTCAGTGGGAGGAATAGTGCCCCATCATTGGTGTCAGTGTGAGGAATAGTGTCCCATCATTGGTGTCAGTGGGAGGAATAGTGCCCCATCATTGGTGTCAGAGCGAGGAATCGTGCCCCATCATTGGTGTCAGTGGGAGGAATAGCACCCCATCATTGGAATACCATACTGAAATACCATACCATATTGAAATGAAATCTGATGTTTTTTACTTTTTATTTGGTGTGCGTTGGAAGAGGGGTAGTCTTATACGGCGAGTATAGCCCAAACCCTATATTTTAACAGGAAAGGTAGGGGGTTGTCTTATACGCCGGAAAATATGGTAAGTCTTTAGAGGTTGGAGGGGCCAGGGCCAGACTCTCTGTCAGAAGCGCTAGGTCAGCAATTATCAATATGAGAAAACCCTGAGATTCTAGGCACCCAGGGAGCTGAAGAGATCCTCTGATCTGACATTGAGCAACCTGGAAATTCCTGCAATGTAGTGCAAGTAATTGCTTTCACTTCAGGTTTAATTTAAATCTGAACTCCAGGCAAACAACTAAACTCTCAGATTAAATATATATGTGAAAGCTGTTTTATCTGTCAAAAGATTTTTCATTTTTGTCTATTCACTTCTGAGATTTACACAGCTCCCCTAGTCTGAATGTTGTAACGGGATTTCAGGAAGGTAATGCCAGATAGAGCTTGTTCACATAAGTTGGTGTGCGTTAAGGTGCACATAGCTTGCACGCTGGTGTATGTGTTGTGCACATGCACTACAATGCATTGTTTCAATGCATTGCAGTGCGCTTTTTTTTTTTTTTTAACTTTAACATTGCACTTTTTTTTTTATATGCAGCAGTGCATTACAGTGTGCAATAGCAGTTTGGAATGTGCTGCGCAAAAAATGCAAGGTGTTTGTTTTTTTTGTTTTTTTTTTTTGCAGCGTACACCAATGTTGCTGTGAATTTAAACAATAGGACACAAGACACATTGTAACTTCTATGTATTGGGACTGTGTTGTGCAGTGCTGCACAATGTAACCCAAGAGAGCTGGTGTGAATGCATTGCTCCACCTTAGCTCTGGATGGTCTTACCCCATACATGACAAGGCCATTTTTTGCTATTTAGCATTGCACTATTTTAACTGGTAATTGCGTGGTCATGCAGTGCTGTACCCAAACAAAATGTATATATTTTTTTTTCGTACAAAGTATTATTATTATTATTATACAGCATTTATATAATGCCAACAGTTTGCACCGCGCTTTACAAAATTTAGGCAGGCATTACAGTCACAATACAATTTGAGCTTTGTCATGGTGGTATTTGATCACCATTTTTTGTTTTGTTTTATTATATATAAATGAAAAAAAGATCGAAAACTTAAAAAAAAAGAGCATAAAAACATATCCAATTTATAAAAAATCAATTTTTCTTCTTCATAAATTTAGGCCAAAATGTATTCTGCTACATGTCTTTGATTAAAAAAATCCCAATAAATGTATATTGATTGATTTGTGTGCGAGTTATAGCATCTAAAAACTATGGTATATATATACTAGAGTTATTAGTTAGTCACGTACCTGGTTGGGGAGCCTGACGTGGAGAGGAGGTGTCCTTTTACTACTCCTGCTCGGAGCTCCTGATAGTGGGGACAGAGGGCACCGAGCCAGGAGTAGCACGAGTGCCTGGTGGGTCTGGAGATGATGGTAGGCAGGTGAGGACCCAGAAGATCCAGATGCAGGCCAGGTGCGGATGCAGGAACGTGGGTGCAGCAGCAGGCAGGTATGGCGGCAACCAGGATACAGACCAGGTGCGGATGCAGGAGCGTAGGTGCGGCAGCGGATAGGTATGGCGGTAACCAGGGTGCAGGCCAGGTATGGGTACAGGAACGTAGGTGCAGCAGCAGATGGGTATGGCGGCAACCAGGATACAGGCCAGGTGCAGGTACAGAAGCGTATGTGCAGCAGTTTCAGACAAGCCGGGTCAGGATCAATCAAGCGGATCAGGTACAAGGGAGCAGGTAAGCGGATAGTCAGGGATAGGCCAGGTCGGTGCAGGCGGAGTTCTTTCTTAGTCAGGGTCAGATCAGATACAGGCAACAGAATCAGGTTATGGAGTACAGGACGTTATAGACCAGAAGGCATAGGCTAAACTGTGTTGGTGATTTAAATAGCCCCACTTGCGGTGACGTGTACGCTAATGTGCATGCGCGAAACCACACACTGCCGCGCATGTGCACTCGCACCGCCGCAGCTGACAGGGATCTGACGCTGGCACACAGCTGCTTGACGGCGAGGGAGCGGACCCTGACAGTTATATTTCTTATGCTAGTAATGCGTGATCAGCAACTTAAATTGGAACAGTGATAGTGCAGCGAGCAATCTGACACTAACTGCCACTGGGTGGGAACTAGCTAACTGCCACTGACATCACCAGTGACATTAATACAGGGATCAGTGATAATACTATACACTCACTGTGCTAATGAGACTGGCTGGGAAAGAGTTAACATCTCAGGTAATCAAGGGGTTAAGTTTGTGCCTAACAAGTGTTAATTGGTGTAATGTGTTCTGCTTTGTACTTTGCAGGGAGAGGAAACAAATAGATCCTTCCCTCTGTACAGAGCCCTGAGCGGATTGTCAACACAGTGCTCTGGGCTGTGTTTGGTCATAGCTGATCAGCAGGTCCTGGCATCATTGGCCGGGACCTGCTGACAAAATACTGCTGTGTCTATCACAGCGGGAGTCAGCGGCCAGAGGGGCACGGAAGAGGCCAGTGACCTACAGTTACGTACGTCATTAAGTGGTTAATTTGTGTATTTATTATATTTATTTAGTTTGTTGTAGCTGAACCAGTGCCAGAGGTTGGTTTTTTTATTCCCCCGAGTAGCTTTCAAGTAGGGTAGGAAACAGTGATTGCCCAGGCCAATTTTCAGGTTTCAGCGGTCTCACACTTTGAATGACAATTGCGCGGTCATACAACACTGTACCCAAACTAAAATTTTATCATTTTCTTCACACAACTAGAGCTTTCTTTTGGTGGTATTTAATCACCACTGGGGTTTTTATTTTTTGCTAAATTAACAAAAAAAGACCGAACATTTTGAAAAAAAAACCCCACGTTTTTCTTTGTTTCTGTTATAAAAGTTTGCAAATAAATAATTGTTCTTCATAAATTTAGGCGAAGATGTATCCTGCTACATTTCTTTGGTGAAAATAACCCAAATTTGTATTTATTATTTAGACTGTAGGAAAGTTATAGAGTTCACAAACTATGGGATATATCTGAATATTGATCAATCCTGAAGTATTGACAGCCAATCTAATTTCTTGAGGTCCAAGAATGTCAGAATAGTACAGATATCCCCCAAATGACCCCTTTTTGCAAAGTAAACAGTCCGACGTATTTCATAAGAGGCATGGCGAGTTTTTTGAAGTTGTAATTTTTTTGTCATTTTTCGGAAAATTAAGAAATTAAAAAAAGTTCATTTTTTTTTTTTTTATGTACTGTCACCAATGCAGTACAGCATCATCATATAACTGGCATGACGATGATCAAGGACACTGACTGGTGACAGTACGAAAATAAAAAATTTATCATTTTTGTTTAATTTTTTTTTTTTTTTTTTACTATTTTTAATTTTTTATTAAATTTTTTCTCTTTTTTAAGATTTTATTTTTCATATTTCGCTATGCCCAAAGTAGTATAATGCTACCATAGTAACATTGTACTACTTTGGGGAAGTGATCAGTATTTTTTTTTTTTTTACACAATTTGCTTATAGCAAATAATTACTTTGCTATAAGCAAGCATTTACCTGAATGAAATTGATTAATGCAGGGTTTTTTTTTTTGTGCTTAGCTGTGATTTGGCCACGGCTAATCACATGACACAGCTGCGTTGTGATTGGCTCAGCTTGTGCATGTGATCGCTGTGGCCATTCACAACTAGACACACTTGTATACAATGGATGGCATGAAAGGAAGCCATCCATTGTATACAACTGTCATGTGACCTGCTGTGATTGGTCACAGCAGGTCACATGATACTGGCAATGGGGCCGGTACACAGATCTGTCAACGGCCGTGTCCGAGGTACAGGGCCGGTGACAGATCACGCCGCAGCGCGGCCCTGCGGGCATGCGCAATGCGTGTTCCTGAAAGGACGCCTACTGACGTCCACCCAGAGGGACGAGCTGTTCGCCTGGCCGCCATCTGGCTTTCCTACCCCAGGGAACCCCTACTAATAATTTTTTATGTCTACAACCCATTATACAATAGTGGGATGGTCAGTATGCTGTCCACAGTGGTTCTCATCCTTGTGATATACACACATAGGGGTTGATTTACTAAAACTATAGAGTGCAAAATCTGGTCCAGCTGTGTATGGTAGCCAATCAGTTTCTAAGTTCAGCTTGTTCAATTAAGCTTTGACAAAAAACAAAAAACCTGGAAGCTGATTGGTTTCTAAGCAGAGCTGCACCAGATTTTACACTCCCCAGTTTTAGTATATCAATCGCATTCTCTGCTGGCTTCTTTTGGCTCTTCCTGGTGTTCCCCTGGTTATCTTCCTGGTTCCAAGCAACTTACATCACATCCACCTGGAGGGCTTTGCTTACCATTAACCAACTGGAAGGTTGTCACCTGCTGGAGACTTACTGATACACACTTTAATATCTTATAAATGTGAGTGCACATTTATTGTTTTTCATTTCATAAATATGGTTTAATAAATGCTATGCTTAGTTAGTGGTGCTTTATGCTTATACATGGTGTACTTGTTGGAGCCTCTTCAGATCCTGCTTGGAAGAGAGACTGCTGACACTGCCATAATATGAACTTCATACCACTTTGTTTTCATATGGACTTTTCTTAAAAGAGACGTTTAGCATTTACTTCTTTTTTAAATTATACTTACCTAGGTGGATGCAGCATCAATCTGTTGCTGCATCTGTCCCTCGTCGGCTCTGTACACAGAAATGAGCACTCAAAAAACAGGTATCGGTGCAACCCTAGTGACTATGGTCAGTGGGAAGAATGCTCCTTAAACTTGTGGTCATTGGAATGAATTACCCCTTACAGATAAAAAGACCATTGGTGTCACTGGTTACTTATCTGAGAGGCAAAAATTGCTAGTTTCTCAAGGAACCCCTAGTAATCTCTGCAGGAACCCTAGGGTTCCATGGAACATTGGTTGAGAAACCCTGATTTAAACCATCCCTTCAATATGGCAATGTAACAGGTTATAATTTTGGACAAACATACAACAAAATGTAAGACCTCTGGATCCTGAAGGTATTGTATCATTTCATTTTTTTAAATCCAGTTCTGGTAATACGAAAAGGGTAGTATGAAGGTAAAGATAAGAAAGGCATAGAAAAGATGAATTAGGAATCAGAGACATTGTCATACAGAAAATGGTTGAGGGCAATGGGGCTACACTTATTTGTCCACTGAGGTGACAGGCTGAATGGCCGGTGATTAAAGGTAAGTCATGAAAGTCGAATCCATTGTAGAAAGTTCATAGAAGAACCATGGGGACTGGATTATTGAGAATATTGTGTGACTGTCCATTAGTATAATAGAAAGCTTTTCATTGATCATTAATCTATTAAGTTATTTTTCCTTATGTTTCCTTTTATTTATTTATTTCAGGTACTTATACAGCGCCGACAATTTATGCAGCGCTTTACACATATATATTGTACATTCACATCAGTCCCTAACCCTCAAGGGACGTACAATCTAAGGTCCCTAACTCACATTCATACATACACATACTAGGGCCAATTTAGACAGGATCCAATTAACCTACCAGCATGTCTTTGGAGTGTGGGAGGAAACCGGAGTACCTGGAGGAAACCCACGCAGGCACAGGGAGAACATGCAAACTCCAGGCAGGTGGTGCCGTGGCTGGGATTCGAACCAATGACCCTAGTACTGCCAGGCAGAAGTGCTAACCATTTAGCCACTGTTCCTTTTGTCCTAGGATGACAGTGTTCACATGCTGTACTGCATCTATAGCATCGTTGTCACCCTAGAGACACCCATAAAGACAGAACATCTCTCTCTTCAAAATTTAGAGAGAAGGTGTTCTGCAGTCATAAAACCTAGCTATAAAAATGATAACTGATAAGGCTGGGGTGCATTGCATAAAGGCAAGCTATTCATTTTAATGGGCTTCTAGTGTACAGTTTTATTGGTGTATATGCTATTTTTTTTTTTATAGCTGCACACCACAATGGCTTACCAGTGCACAAAAATGCAAAACCTGCATTATCAGGCTCCATGCACATTGGCTTAAAAACTGCTGCCTCTAGAGGAGTTTAGCAGTTTGCCTGTAGACGCAACTAATGATATCCTATGTGTCCATGCACATTAGGTAGTCTAGATACGTTTTTTAAGTTCAGAGTTTAGAGGCAGGAAAAAAAAAATTGTTTTGTTAAACGGTATTCTAAAAAAAAAAAAAACACTCAAAATTAGCGTTTTTTCCTGCCAAGAGCACTGGAGTCTTTTTAAGCCAGTGTGCATGGAGCCTTAGTGTGAACTGAGCCTAAGAGTGCAGCAGAGGCAGAGGAAATGATCAGATCAGGAGAATTTTTCCAGAACCAAAATGTATTTTTTTGTGCTCATGGAACAAATCTAACACAACACAACAGTTAGGAATAGAGGACATGAATTAGTCTAGGAGTTCAGCCAGTGTCACAATTGTGTGTATTTTAGAGATCTTATTGGATTTGGGTTGAAATGGTAATTTATTTACTGCCAGGAGATGTCTTGAGTTATGGAAAAATGACATGCTTTGTAAAAATATATGGATAGACCACCAGATGTCTGAGTTATGTAGTGCAGCTTGCAAACTAGGATAATCCAAAACTATGGATCAACTAGAGATGACTGAACTAGAGAATTTGCCATCATTCCATATTCTTCAAATGTATTTAAATTTGAAGAATATTTTAGAGTTGAGGTATCTACGATTGACCCAGGGATTGCGTCTGGGACAGCAGTTGGGTGGGTACCTGGAATCATATGAGATACCTAGAAAGCCATATATTTGGTTGTGTGTTGGGAAACATACACTCATTAGCCACTTTATTAGGTACACCTTGCTAGTGCCAAGAAAATA